CACCGCTACAGCGGGTTGTGGGGACGACGGCGCGGGGTTCAAATCACCCCAAAACCTCCCCCGCCCCCTTCCCCGCCGCCGCCGCCGCGGCTCACCGATCCCGCCGGCGCCGTCTTACCGGTTTTGGTGATGGCTTGCGACCGCAGCACCGTCCGTCGGTGTTTGGATAAACTCTTACGCTACCGACCTTCGGCTCAACGTTTTCCCGTCATCGTTAGCCAGGATTGCGGTCACGCCGAAACCGCTCGCGTCATCGCCTCCTACGGCGACGCCGTGGCTCATATCCGACAACCCGATCTCAGCGATATCCCGGTCCCGGCAGAACACCGTAAATTCCAAGGTTATTATAAAATCGCTCGGCATTATCGTTGGGCGTTGGGACAGGTTTTCCGGACTTTCCGTTACCGCGCCGCCATCGTGGTAGAGGACGATTTAGAAGTCGCTCCGGATTTTTTCGAGTATTTCCAAGCGGCGTTCCCGCTCCTCCTCGCCGATCGCAGCCTCTGGTGCGTTTCCGCTTGGAACGACAACGGGAAAGAGCAAATGGTGGACGTCGGACAAGCCGAATTACTTTATCGGACTGATTTTTTTCCCGGTCTTGGTTGGTTGCTTTTAGCCGAACTTTGGGATGAACTCGAACCCAAATGGCCGCGAGCTTTTTGGGACGATTGGATGCGTCAACCCGAACAACGTCGAGATCGGTCTTGCGTCCGCCCCGAAGTCTCCCGTACGATGACGTTCGGTCGTAAAGGAGTGAGCCACGGGCAATTTTTCGATCAATATTTAAAATTTATCAAACTGAACGACCGTTTCGTGCCTTTTACCCAACTGGATCTTTCTTACCTCAAAAAAGAAGAGTACGAACGTTCTTTTCTCCCCAAGGTTTACGCCGCGCCGGAGGTGAGGGTGGAAGAGCTCCAAGGGAATCGGCGGCGGGAGCTGGGCGCCGTCCGCTTGCAGTACAGCGGCCGCGATTCCTTCAAAGCCTTCGCCAAAGCCCTGGGGCTGATGGACGACCTCAAATCCGGCGCCCCCCGCGCCGGCTATCGCGGCATCGTCAGCTTCGTCTATCGGGGACGTCGCGTTTATCTCGCGCCTCCTTCGGACTGGAGGGGTTACGATCCCAGTTGGAGTTAGCGGGCGCCGGGGAGAGGGGGCTGTTGTTCCCCTTGTTCATTGTTGTTTTTTTTTTTTTTGAGGGGTTTCCCCCCTTTTTTCATCATTTTTTTGTTGTGGTTGGTTGGTGTGGCTTTAGCGGGGAGGATTTGGCCGCTCACCCGGCGCTTTCTCCGCTGCCGCCCCGGGGGAAATTCGGGGCGAAGGCGGCTCCCAGCGGAGAAATTATTTTCCAGAATAAAAGGCAAAAAAAAAAAAAACCACCCTAAAAAAAAAAAAAACCAACCCAAAACCCCAAAATTCAGATTTCTTTTGCTACCGCTCCGCCTGGCTCACTCCGTGCGTCCCAGGCCCTATATGGCTCTATAGGGCCTCGTCCCTGTATCCAGCTTGATGGACTTATATAGGCCTGTACAGATCTATATGGGTCTATACAGATCTGTATCGGTCTATACAGATCTATATGAGCCTATACAGAGCTATATGAGTCTATACAGATCTATATGAGCCTATACAGAGCTATATGAGTCTATACAGATCTATATGAGCCTATACAGAGCTATATGAGTCTATACAGACCTACGTGCCCTGCCCCTATATGGTCTCAATCCTATATTTCAGGCCCTGTATTGGGCTGTGGGGTCTAGGACATGTATAAGGGACTGTGCTCTAGTCCCTATATGTGCCTGTGTACTCTGGGCCTTATATATGCTACATATATACACATACACTGTATTGTATGGGGTCATATGGTCTGGGCTATGTCCGTATAATGGGCTGTAGGCTCTGGGCGCTATATCCAGGCCCTATATCACAGCCCATATGCTCCCCTCGCTGTAGTTATGCCCTATACCTGCTGGTCTATATGTTCTGCTCTATATGTTCCAGGCTTGGAGAACCGGGGATTTATACCCAGGTCCGGGGGGCATTATTTTTGCTGCTAAAAAGCCCCTTTTATGTTAAAAAAGCCCCTTTTTAGCCGAAATAAACCTTCAGACGTGGGTTTTTGG